CTGAGTAAGGTGCAGAGTCCGTCTGCTCCGTGATCTCTGAGCTGGCTCAAGGGGCTCTCCTGATAACGGTAGGTGTACAGGCTCCTTTTCGTGCCCAGACCAGCTCAATCAGTGGGGCACGAGACTCCATCTACGTGTCTTTGGCTGGAGCCCCAAGTGCAGTCTTCGGTTCCTTTTCTTTTGCTCCGTCACGCAAATCGAACTGTTCCGCAAGTGTGCTGGGGTGGGGGAAGGCCAAGCGTGCTTCACAGGAAAGAAGTTCTTGGTTTTTAGAGACATGATAGCTGTCAGCCTGTAGAGAAGATTTAGGCGCTGGATGAGAAGGTTAGGGGATTTCTGGATCCAAAGGTAAGTTGAAGTCAGCCAAGTCCTGTGCCCTCCTTGGACTAACGGACTGTGTCCTGGTCTCCTGTCTGACTCAGAGCAGACCAAAAAAAGCCGGTTTCCTAATGCTCAGTAGGCTTTCAGGTAGTAATTGAAGTTTTCCCATGTTTCTTGTGAATCGAAAACGCAGCTGCGCCCGCACCTCCACGCCACCCTGCCCCTCTTCCCCCTTGTGCTTTTTGTCTTTCTAACGTGAAGGTAACTTTCAAGAAAAAGGGATTGTTTCCGCCCAGTTTTGAACCGCGGACTTTTCGCGTGTGAGGCGAACGTGATACCCACTACACTACGGAAACAGGGAAGACGCTGGGGCCTACTGCTATCTCCTTGAAAATCTGAGGTCCCGCCACAAGCATTCTAGACACCCACTTTTTTAATTGAAAAAGGCCCGGGGAAGCATCAGCGATCCCTCAGGCAAAGATACTGCAGCTCCTGAGAGGCCCTGGCTCAGGGTTCCTTGCCTATCCCAGAAGCAAGGGCCCTGGGACCCCACAGTTTGACTTTGGGATCCCAGATCAAACGCAGGGTTTCCACTTCCAGAACTAGGCGCCCTTGTGCAGGAGCCGCCCCCGCGGATCTCAGCTCCTGGAAGCTGCAGGAGCCGGCGGGTTAGGTGCGTCTGAACCCCAAGCGCCCCCGCCTCCCAGCAGTGTGGACGTGGCCCTCCGGGGCTGTGGACTCGTGCCTCGGTGGCCCTTTTCAGGGCCCCGGCGGTCAGCGCTCTCGGCTGTCGGCAAATGACCGGTGCTTCGAATCCACCCAGGAACGCTAGGACCCGCTCTTCCCGCCCTCCCCTCTGCTCCCATGCGTGGGACCTGAGCGCTCTTTCCTCGCAAGCCCTTTCGCCTTAGCGCTTCTCGGCTGTCCTCTCGGCCAAAGGGGGTCTTTTTGGTATCCTCTGGGCAAAAGGGGTCCCTCCAGTTCCTGCCTGGGTTGCTTTAAAGCCATCGAGAGAGGCCTGTGTGCATGACCATCTAACAGAGGCTGGTAAAATCTGGGCTATGGAATGGAGGGATGGAAAGCAAGCGCAAGAAACCGTTTTTAGTGGCACAGAGCGGAAGAGTGGCACAGCCATAACGGGGGAGAGAGGGATGGCCTGACCCTCCTCATTTCACGGGCATCTATTCCTGCCTGGTGTTTGTGAGTCTGACACTTGGCTGGGCTGCCTTGGAGTATCTCTCATGACTCTGCTGCCAGACTTGAGTAGGTTGGTGATGACATTTGGTGTGACCACAGCCACCTTCATAGCTGCCATTAAGTATCTGGAGCAAGGTGAAGAAGAGAAACCTCGAGAAATAGATTTTTTAAGCTGTTTCCTCTCTCTTCCCCCATCTGAGTGTGTATGACCTGACAGTGTGATAGTGATTGGACTGTAATTTAGCACAACCACTTTCCTAATATTTGTCAGTTTCTCATGAAGTTAAAAATATACCCACCCTGTTACCTACTAATGTTACTTCTATAAACTTCCCAAGAAAAAATGAATGCATACATTCAAAGCGTCTTCTACAAAAACATTCATAGCAGTGTCATTCATACTAGGCAAAAACTGGATAACATCCAAATGTCCATGGACAGGAGACATGATATACAAACCATTGTATGTTCATACAAGGGATCAATACTCCACAGTAAAAACAACCAAACTGTAGATGAGGCAATCACATGAACAACGCCCCCCCCCCCCACAAGCAGTACATTCAGCAAAAGATGCCTATCAAAAAAAAAAAATGCCTTTCAACTCCTAAAACATATCTCTTTTAAGGTACCTTTCTGGTACTCCTGTGTAAGTCCACTTCCATGAAGCATCAGAACAGAAGAGTGGTTCCCTCTTTGAGAAAATCTGATGGGAAACTTCCTGGGTTGATGGAAATGTTCTATACGTTCGTCTGGCTGATAGTTACAGGGGTTTATACATTTATCACGTTTCATTGTATATTTTTTACTTTTACGTTTATGACATCAAAAATAAAGTTAATTATTTATTGAAACTAGAGAATTCCCACAAAGAATAATTGTTTTAGTTCTTAGTTTTACTCTGATACACACACATATATATATTATTACTTTTATGTATTCTGTAAAATCTGTGCAAAAGACTCTGATATAAATTAGAACTTTTTACATCTCCTAGACCATGCTAGAACTTTGGAACATCTTAATTCCATTTACTCTCCTCATGATTTTTTAGTTATTGGCATTAATTTTACTTCAACATACACTTTAAATCATATAGACATTATTATTATTGTTTGAATAGTAATATTTATTTGACTTAACGTATCCATTGCTCTTCATTCCTTCCGTCATTTTCCACGTTTCCCTGGGGATCATTTAACTTCTGCCTAAAAAGTTACCTTTTGCATTTCCTTTGGTTAGGGTCTGCTGCTTATCTGGTCGGGTCTTCACTTCACTTTCCCTTGAAAGATATTCCGTCAAGGATTAGTAGAGTGTAGCGGGTAGGAAATTATATTGCTTTATCCCTTTAAGAATGTCTTCTTTTTCATTGCTTTTGCTGAGAATTCAGCTCCCAATCCTTGGACGGTGTAATAGGAATTTCTCTCCTCTGGGTGCTGCTATGATTTTTTCATCTGTCTTTGGTGTTCAGCAGTTTGGGGTGTAGTTTGCTTGTCCTTATCTTGCTCAGAGTTCGTAGATCATCTTGTTTTTCCCTTAATTGTCCATAATATCTTTCAATATTGTTTTTGTCCCATTTTCTGGCTCCTCCAACCTCTGAGACTTTAATTACTTTTATGTTAGGCCTTTATGACATAACCCGTATCTTTCTTACACTCTTTTCTTAATTTTTATTCCTTTCAGCTCTTTATGCTTAAACTCTATGGAGAGTTCTTGCAATGTACATATTTTCAGATTAATAATCTCGCTTCAAGTGGGTCCAAACTGCTATTACACTGATCTATTGGCTTTTTAAAATCCTAACTATTACATATTTTATTTCTATAATTTCCATTGATTTTTAAAATAGATTCTTTCTCTGGTGAAAATTTTTAGCATGTCATCTATTTTGTGAATAGCTAAAACATATTATTTTATGTTTCTATCTGATAACTTCAATACCTCAATCACCTGTGAGTCAAGTTCTATAGTTTCCTTTTTTTCTCTTGCTTCTGTTCCTTTTTAGTCCTAGAATATGGTGATTGAATGGTGAACCTGTTGTGTGAAAAATGATGGATAGTTTGAATGATGTCAGCTTTCTCTGAAGATTATTCATCCTCCTCCCCAGGAGACAGCAGAAGAGCAGATCACCTCAGTCCAATCCAATCCTTGAATAAGCCGATTTGTAGCTTGTTTGCACTCATGGGAAGTGTCAGTCTACAGCTAGTTGGCTCACACTGCTATGCTGTACAACGCCAGGGATCCTACCTGAGACCTTGAGGGGTGTTTCCTTGGCCCCTCCTCTTTGATGAGTCCTGAACTTCAATTTTTATCTCCTGAGAACCATGATATTGCTGAAAATTCCACTCTCTTTCAGCCACACTCTGCTTGCCTTTGTAGCCTCTTGCATGCACATTGCTGAATTTGCAAATGGCTTCAGGGGAATTCCTGTACCAAGCATCCAGCTCACTTACCAACTCCCTCCAGGATCTCGACTCCTCAAGTCTATATACTTGGACAGCTCCACATGTCTCTTTTCTTCTTCTTCTTTTCTCTCCAGATCCATGAGATTACCTAAAGTGCTGCTGTTTTCTCTGACTCCTAGCAGGTGTCCTCTCCCCAGCTTCTCAGTCTCTTGTTCCTTGCCAAGAACTGGCAAATGCCCTGAGGGGAAAAGGTAGAGAGGTCGTTTCATTCTCATGAACTCCTCTCTCTCTCAGGAGCTGATCCTGTGGGCCCTAGCTGCATTGGTATTTCTCTAAAGACTTCAAACAGAATTCTTTTAATCCAGACTTTGTTTAGTTGTTTTCAGGGTGAATGCTCATTTACTACAAACACTCCATCATAACTGAAAGAAGACATCTTCTACAACTTCCAAATCAACTACATTTTCTTCCTTTTGTTTCTTAAAAATAAAACCCAAAAAAAAACCCAAAACGTAGGATCACTGGTACATACTTGGACGTTCCTTATAATACTTGTTGTAAGTGTAGCTGGATATTAAAAGCTCTTGCTAGAAGCATGTGCAAAAGATAGTCTCCTGTGAGCTAAACAATCGTCATACCTGTCTAAGGTCCAAGAATTCGATGAAGCTGGATCCAGTCCCCTGCTGCAGTGTCTCCACTGTCAATTAAATCACCATCAAAATCATCAAGTAACCAGTTTTTCACATGCCAGTCACTAATATGGTCCTAATTTATCCCGGGGAATGTTGAAAGTCAGCAGCAGTGCAGTTAGAAGTAGAAACAAAGCACGTAATAATAACAATCGTAACAGCTTCCTCAGAGCTCTACTGTGTGACCAGCACAGTTCCTCAGTGCTTTACCGTGTAACAATTTATTTAGTCCACATAACAACCCTGAGACAGTGTAGGTTATTAAGATCCCTTGTTGCAGAGGAGAACACTGAGGCACTGACAGGCTGAGCTTGCTTCCCAAGGGTCCCAGCCTTGTGAGGGTGAGAGCCAGCACTCAGACCCAGGCAGTGTGCCTCCTGAGCCCTTGCTCTTGGCCATCTTGCTCAGTGGTAACTGAGAAGACTTCACTAAGATTGGCATCCCCTCATTTTTGCTCCAACTCCAAGATTTTGAAGATAGAAAGAAGATCAAATGTAATGCCTACAAAACACTCAGAACTGAGATTGTGGGGCAGATGGCAGCATAGGAGGACTCTGAACTCACCTCCTCCCATGAACTCAACAAATTTACAACTACCCTTGAAACAACTACCCCTGAGAGAGAACTGAAAACTGGATAAAAAGGACCCCCACAACAAGGGACAGTGCTGGCTGTGGTGGAAGGGGCAGAAATTTCTTTCTGGAGAGAAAAAACCACACTTTAGCCACGGGGCTTCACAGCCAGGAGCAATATAAAGTACGAAGCTTTTCCTGGAGGAGTGGGGGATCTGAGCAGGAGAGCTTTGTCACAATAAGCAGCTTTCGGACTCAGCACAATGAAGACAATTGTCATAATATCTGGCTTTGCTGGCTATTCACAACAACGGGGAATACCCCCAGAAAAACTATCAGACATAAGGGAAAGAAAAGCCTGCTCTTATGGGCCCCAGCACAAATTCACCTGTTTCGGAAACCAACCTAAAATCACCAGAAAGAAAGGTGCACGGTCCTTTGGTGAAAAAAGACTCACTTGATAGGCTCTGGGCGCATTTCGGTGAGAGGTGAGAGCTCCCCAGGCTGGGACCACCTCCCCAGGGACTGACACATTGGCGGCAGGCATTACTGTGACCTAGTACAGGCGTGCTGATACAGACGCTGGCAGATGCCATTGGAGTTCTTCCTCTGGCTTGTTAGCACAGGGTTCTGCTCCACCTACTAGATCACCAATGGAATCCAGCTCAGCCAAGGCAGATAGCCCACCCTAGGGACTGGCTCCACCCAACAGCAAGCCCTCGGGCAACTTGTGGGCCCACACAGGTGGGGTGTGTGGGACCTCTGTGAGTGGGGGAAGGGGCGAGTGGGTCTGCCTCTGTGGGGCAGGGTGTGTGCAAGTGGCAGGGTGTGCACAAGGGGTGGGCCTTGATTGGCAGAGTGTGTGGAGCCTCTGAAGCAGGGCCGGTAGGTTCACTTTTAGTGGGTCGGGGTGTGTGCACGGTGCAGGACTGTGTTGACAGGTTGTGTGGGCCTGTGGGCAGTGGGGCTTGTCAGTGGCAGCAGACTTGTGCTTCTCAAACAGACACATAGGGGATTGGCCCCACATTCTGATGCCTGAAACTATTGTGTGCTGCCACGCCTTGGGCCGGCCCCACTCAGCTGCACTCATGAGAGAGCTGACAACAACTTTGCAGCAATTGTGAGCCCCTGAGCCTAGCAACCAGCCATGCTGGGGGCCTACTCACTTAACAGAAAAACTGTAGCACGAATGTGCTATTAGACCTTGCAGCCAACTGTGCTACAACTGTGAAACAATTGTGTGCTGCCACACCCAATATAATGAATGAAGGGACTGTAGCAGCCACACACAGCTGAGTATTACAACCAGCCCGCCATGGGGACAGCCTAGCCTCCCCGTGCACCTGCAGCAAAAGCAACCCTGCCACAACAGAAAGGTACACGTAGCCCACACAGGGGACACTCCCAGAACATTTGGAACTGGTGACAAGAGGGAAGCACGCTGCTGGGCCTCATAAAGCATCCCTTACATAAGGCCACCTCCCCAAGATCGGGAGACAAAGCTGATCTACCTAATACATAGACATAAGCACAGAGAAAGAGGCAAAATGAGGAGACAAAGGAATATGTTCCAAATAATGGGACAGGACAAATCCTCAGAAAAAGAACTAAAGGAAACAAAGGTAAACGATCTACCCGATAAAGAGTGCAAACTGACAGTCACAAGGATGCTCACTGATCTGGGGAGAAGAATGGATGGATTCAGTGAGAACTTCAATGTAGAACTGGAAAATATAAAAAAGAACCAATCAGAAATGAAGAATACAATAATAGAAACAAAAAATTTACCAAAGGGACTCGGCAGCAGAGTAGATGATACAGAAGAACGGATCAGTGAGCTAGACGAAAGACTGGAGGAAATCACCTACGCTCAACAGATAAAAGAAAAAACAATTAAAAAGAATGAGGACAGTCTAAGGGACCTCTGGGACAATATCAAGTACACTAACATCCGTATTATAGGTGTCCCAGAAGGAGAAGAGGGAGACAAAGGGGCAGAGAATCAATTCAAAGAAATAATAGCTGAAAGCTTTCCTTACCTAAAGAAGGAAACAAACATCAAGGTACAGGAAGCACAGAGAGCACCAAACAAGATAAACCCAAAGAGGCCCACACCAAGACACATTATAATCAAAATGTTAAGAATTAAAGATGAAGAGAGAATCCTAAAATCTGTGAGAGAAAGGCAACAAGTTACATACAAAGGAAACCCCATAAGGCTATCAGCTGTGTTCTCAGCAGAAACTTTACAGGCTACAAGGGAGTACCATGATATATTTAAAGTGCTGAAAGGAAAAAACCTACCGCCAAGGTTATCATTCAGAATGGAAGGAGAGATAAAGAGTTTTTCAGACAAGCAAAAACTAAAGGAGTTTATCACCAATGAACCAGCCTTACAAGAAATGCTAAAGGGACTTATTTAAGTGGAAAAGAAAAGACCACAAATAGGAATAAGAAAATTATTTTTAAAAAAACCCACAATAAAATCACAGGTAAAGGCAAATATACAGTAAAGGTAGCCAATCAACCGCCTATGAAGCTAATATGAAGGTCAAAAGACAAAAGTACTAAAATTGTCTATTTCCATGATAAGAGAGTAATGGATACACATGAACAAAAAAGCAGTTAAATGTGATATCAAAAACATAAAATGTGGGAGGAGGGGAGTAAAAGAGCAGACCTTTTAGCAAGAGGTCAAACTTAAGAGACCATCAACTTAATATAGACTGCTATATACGTGGGTTATTATATATGAACCTCGTGGTAATCACAAACCAGAAACCTATAATAAATACAAAAAAAATTAAGAGAAGACCCAAACAAAATACTAAAGAAAGCCATGAAACCACAAGGGAAGAGAGCAAGAGAAGAAAGGAACAGAGAAGAACTACTAAAACACCCAGAAAAAAGTAACAAAATGGCAATAAGTACATACTTATCAATAGCTACTTTAAAAGTCAATGGATTAAATGCTCCAATCAAAAGTCATAGGGTGGCTGATTGGATAAAAACACCAGACCCATATATATGCTGCATACAAGAGACACACTTCAAACCTAAAGACACTCATAAACTGAAAGTGAGCAGATGCAAAAAGATACTCCATGCAAATGGCAATGAAAAGAAAGCTGGGGGGGCAATACTTATATCAGACAAATTAGACTTTATTTTTATTTATTTATTTATTTATTTATTTATTTATTTATTTTCCCCCCAAAGCCCCAGTAGATAGTTGTATGTCATAGTTGCACATCCTTCTAGTTGCTGTACATGGGATGCGACCTCAGCATGGCCGGAGAAGCAGTACGTAGGTGCACGCCTGGGATCCAAACCCAGGCCGCCAGCAGCGGAGCACGCGCACTTAACCACCAAGCCACGGGGCCGGACCAGACAAATTAGACTTTAAAACCAAAACTGTAACAAGAGACAAAGAAGGGCACTACATAATGATAAAGGGAACAATCCAACAAGAGGATATAACACTGGTAAATATCTATGCACCCAACATAGGAGCACCTAAATATATGAGGCAATTATTAACAGACATAAAAGGAGAAATAGACAGTAACACAACAATAGTAGGGGACTTTAACACTCCCCTTACACCAATAGAAAGATCATCCAAACAGAAGATCAACAAGGAAACATTGGCCTTAAATGACACATTAGACCCGATGGACTTAGTAGATATACACAGAACATTCCATCCAAAAACCGCAGAATACACATTCTTTTTGCATGCACATAGAACATTCTCCAGGATAGATCACACAGTAGGCCACAAAACAAGTCTTGATAAATTTGAGAAGATTGAAATAACACCAAGCATCTTTTCTGACCACAGAGGTATGAAACTAGAAATCAACTATAGGAAAAAAACCAGAAAAGCCACAAATATGTGGAGATTAAACAAAATGCTACTCAACAACAATTGAGTCAATGAAGAAATCAAAGAAGAAATTAAAAAATACCTGGAGGCAAATGAAAATGAAAATACGACATGCCAAAATTTATGGGAGACAGCAAAAGCGGTTCTAAGAGAGAAGTTTATAGCAACAGAGGTCTTCCTAAACAAACAAGAAAAATCTCAAATAAACAGTCTCACAGTGTACCTAAGGGACCAATAAAAGAAGGACAAATGAAGCCCAAAATCAGTAGCAGGAAGGAAATAATAAAAATCAGAGCAGAAATAGAGAGTAAAAAAACAATAGAAAAAAATCAATGAAACGAAGAGCTGGTTCTTTGACAAGATAAAAAAAATTGATAAACCTTTAGCTACACTCGCCAAGAAAAAAAGAGAGAAGGCTCAAATAAATAAAATCAGAAATGAAAGAGGAGAAATTACAACAGACACCTCAGAAATACAAAAGATTACAGGAGACTACTACGAAAATCTATATGCCAATGAATTGGATAATCTAGAAGCAATGGGTAAATTCTTAGAATCATACAACCTTCCAACACTGAGTCAAGAAGAAACCGAGAATTTGAGTAGACCAATCCCCAGTATGGAGATCGAAACAGTAATCAAAAACCCCTCCAAAAATAAAAGTCTAGGACTGGACGGCTTCCCTAGTGCATGCTCCCAAACATTCAAAGAAGACTTAATATCTATCCTTCTCAAATTCTTCCAAAACATTGAAGAGGAGGCAAAGGTTCCTAACTCATTCTATGAGGCCAACATTGCCCTGATACCAAAAGCAGACAAGGACAACACAAAAAATGAAAATTATAGGCCAGTATCACTGATGAACATCGATGCAAAAATCTTCAACAAAATACTAGCAAATTGAATACAACAATATATTAAAAAGATCATGCACCATGATCAAGTGGGATTTATTCCAGGTATGCAGGGATGGTTCAACATCTGCAAGTCAATCAACATGATACACCACACTAACAAAATGAAGAATAAAAATCACACTATCATCTCAACAGATGCAGAGAAAGCATTTGACAAGATACAGCATCCATTTATGATTTAAAAAACTCCAAATAAAATGGGCATAGAAAGTACCTCAACATAATAAAGGCCATATATCACAAACCCACAGCTAATATCATACTCAATGGAGAAAAACTGAAAGCTATCCCTCTAAGAGCTGGAACCAGACAAGGATGCCCATTTTCACCACTTGTATTTAACGTAGTACTGGAAGTTCTAGCCAGAGCAATCAGGCAAGACAAAGGAACAAAAGGGATCCAAATTGGTAATGAAGAAGTCAAACTGTCACTATTTGCAGATGACATGATTTTATATATAGAAAGCCCTAAAGAATACACCAAAAAACCTTAGAAATAATAAATGAATACCATAAGGCTGCAGGATACAAAACCGACATACAAAAACCAGCTGCATTTCTATACACTAACAACGAAGTAGCAGAAAGAGAAATTAAGAATAAAACCCCATTTACTATTGCAACAAGAAGAATAAAATACCTAGAAATAAATTTAACCAAGGAGGTGAAAGACCTGTACACTGAAAACTATAAAACATTGTTAAAAGAAATCGAAAAAGACACAAAGAAATGGAAAGATATTCCGTGCTCTTGGATTTGAAGGATTAACATAGTTAAAATGTCCATACGTCCTAAAGCAATCTACAGATTCAATGCAATTCCTTCCAAAGTTCCGACATTTTTCACAGAAACAGAACAGAGAATCCTAAAATTTATACACAACAACAAAAGACCCGGAATAGCCAAACGAATCCTGAGAAAAAAGAACAAAGCTGGAGGTATCACACTCCCTGATTTCAAAATATACTACAAAGCTATGGTAACCAAAACAGCATGGTACTGGCACAAAAACAGACACACAGATCAATGGAACAGAATTGAGAGCCTGGAAATAAACCCATATATCTATGGACAGCTAATTTTCGACAAGGGAGCCAAGAACATACAATGGAGAAGGGAAAGTCTCCTCGGTACATGGTGTTGGGAAAACTGGACAGCCACATGCAAAAGAATAAAAGTAGACCTTTATCTTACAACATACACAAAAATTAACCCAAAATTGATTTAAAAAAACTTGACTTTAAGACCTGAAACTGTAAAAATTCTAGAAGGAAACATAGGCACGACACTCTTCAACATCAGTCTTAGCAGCATATTTTCAGGTACCATGTACATCCAGGAAAGGGAAACAATAGAAAAAATAAACAAACAGGATTATATCAAACTAAAAAGCTTCTGCACAGCAAGGAAACCATCAACAAAGCCAAAAGACAACCTAACAATGGGGAAAAGATATTTGCAAACCATATATCTGATAAGGGCTTAATCTCCAAAATATATAGAGAACTCATGCATCTCAACAACAAAAAATCTAACAAACCAATAAAAATTGGGCAGAAGATCTGAACAGATATTCTCCCAGAGAAGATATACAGATGGCCAACAGGCACATGAAAAGATGTTCAACATCCATAAATATCAGGGAAATGCAAATCAAATCTACAATGAGATATCACCTCACGCCCGTCAGAGTGGCTATAATTAACAAGACAAGAAATAACAAGTGTTGGAGAGGACGTGGAGAAAAGGGAATTCTCATACACTGCTGGTGGGAGTGCAAACTGGTGCAGCCACTACGGAAAACAGTATGGAGATTCCTCAAAAAATCAAGGATAGAACTACCATATGATCCAGCTATTCCACTGCTGGGTATTTATCCAAAGAACTTGAAAACACCAATGCGTAAAGATACATGCACCCCTGTGTTCATTGCAGCGTTATTCACAATAGCCAAGACTTGGAAGCAACCTAAGTGCCCATCAAGGGACGAATGGATAAAGAAGATGTGGTATATATACACAATGGAATACTACTCAGCCATAAGAAATGATGAAATCCAGCTATTTGTGACAACATGGATGGACATTGAGGGTATAATGCAAAGTGAAATAAGTCAGAGGGAGAAGGTCAAATACCGTATGATTTCCTACATTAAGTAGTAGATAATAACAACAACAAACAAACACATAGACACAGAGATTGGATAGGTGGTTACCAGAGGAGAAGGGGGGAGGGAGGAGGGTGAAAGGGATAATTCGGCACATGTGTGCGGTGATGGGTTGTAATTAGAATTTGGGTGGTGAACATGATGTAATCTACGCAGAAATAGAAGTATAATGACGTACACCTGAAATTTATACAATGTTATAAACCAATGTTACTGCAATAAACAAAAAATTAAAAAAATTAAAAAAATAAATAAAAAAGAAAAGGCTCCATACTGTATAATTGCAACTCTACAACATTTTGGAAAAGGCAAAACTATAGAGAGATTAAAAAGATCTGTGGTTGCCAGAGCTGCAGGGAGGGGGATGAACAGGCAGAGCAGGAAGGATTTTTAGGGCAGTGAAAATACTCTATATGATACTATAATGGTGGATACATGCCATCATACATTTGTCCGAACCCATGGAATGTACAACACCAAGAGTGAACTGCAATGTAAACTATGGACTTTGGGAGATTATGATGTGTCAATGTAGATTCATCGGCTGTAACAACTGTACCGCTCTGGTAGGAGATGTTAATAAAGAGGGAGGCTATGCATATGGGAGGGGGTCAGGGAATATATGAGAAATCTCTGTACCTTCCCCTCCAATTTTGCTCTGAACCTGAAATGCTCTAAAAAATAGCCTTAATTTTAAAAAACAGTAAGCACACTTGAGAAGCTCAATCTTCCCAAAGTAAACATTTTTTTCTTTTTTGAGGAAGATCAGTCCTGGGGTAACATCTGATGCCAATCCTCCTCTGTTTTCTGAGGAAGACTGGCCCTGAGCTAACGTCGTGCCCATCTTTCTCTACTTTACATGGGACGGCGCCACAGCATGGCTGGACAAGCAGTGCATCCGTGCCAGCCAGGATCTGAACCGCCAAACCCCGGGCCGCCTCAGCGGAGTGTGCGCAGTTAACGGCTTGCGCCACCAGGCCGGCCCCTCAACTAAGCATTCTGAAAAAGGAATGCAAGCATGTCTAGAAAATTAAACACACACACACACACACACACACACACACACACACACATTGAAGGAGCAAAAGTTCGACTTACTCTTCCAAGCCTACAAAGCGCAGAATAAAGATTTTATCCCACCACACCAGAACCTGGGTTCTTAGATCTCTGTTTCAGGAATTCCTCTAATTCACGTATAAACCGGACATCCCAGCAGATATTGTGTGAGAATCAGGTTGGAGAGGTGGCATGGCTCCTGACAGGTATTAGACGAGAAATAGATAGGACCCAGAATAGAGGAGGGTAAATTTTCTAAGAGGAAATTTACAGGTCATCAAGAGCAGGGAACAGGTGAGACAGTTAAAAACCACACACACCTACGTCCCTGGGTGGGCTCGAACCACCAACCTTTCGGTTAACAGCCGAACGCGCTAACCGATTGCGCCACAGAGACGCGGGAGGCTGCCTCTTCTGGCCTCCTTAGGGAGTGAGCACCTACTAACCCCTAGGCTCTGCCGCCCTCCTTGCACGAAAACTGCAAGTTCCAAAGCCTCGGAAAACCAGAGAGATTACTTAAACGAATGGAGTTCTTCGTCTCCTTGGAAACCTGTACGTTGGGTGATTCCGAAAGCAGTAGGGCAGCCAAACGGCCTCGCCCCTGCCCCTCCCCCCTTGCCCATGACTCGATTCAGAAGCCAGCACCTCCGGAGTCGCCGGGGGCCGCGACCCTCCCGGGCTTGAGCCGAGTGGGGCCCAAGGATCCCTAAAGGCCCCGTGGGCTCCCGGGATGGCTCTTCCTGTCGCTTCGCCTTCACCCAACCGCCCTTCGTCGCCAGCTCTCCCCAGGCCCGAGACGGATGCGCGGGCTGGAACAAGTGTGAAGGACATACAGTGGTCAGAGAACGAACGTTTGCCCACCCTTCCGAGAGGCTTTCGGGGCTGGTGGGGTGCTGCCGCTTCCTTCTTCGGATTCTTGGGTCCAGCACGCGAGCTCCGCGAGGGCAGGGGTCGCGGTGATGGTCGCCCGTGGGCCCCCTCGCCGAGAACAGGGTCCTGACACTCACCAGGGCGCTCTATTAGGTCTTGTTGAATTCATACGTTGTCTTTAGCTTTTAGTCTCATGAAGAACCCTGAGAATGGAAAGAATGAAACGTTTCTCGAAATGGAATTTCTTCTTAAAAGGTTTTTATTCCAGTTAATTGCGCAGCGTTCCGTGGGGCGGCAACGTGAAAGGCCTACAGCGCACCATCTGCACACTTGTGCTCCCCGCGCACAGCTCCGCTGCGTTCGTGTGCTCAGCGCGGTCGGTGGGGCCGGTGGGGACCCGGGGGCGGGAGAAATCATGGGGCTAAAAGGGAAGCGCAAAGAGCACGGAAAGTAGAAGTGGAGGCGACTACAGGGTCAGCAAGACCTCCTAGGAGGCCTGTGCAGAGGCAAGGGCCAGACCCTGGGGAGAGGAGAAGAGTTTTTGTTATCCTAGCAGAATGAGGAGGAAAGGAGGGAAAAACAGAGGGAGTACAGGAAAGAACAAAAAACGCGAAGACCTGTAGCTCTCTAAAAATAAAGCAGCAAAATATTACGAATGCTTTTATGTCAAAACGACCTCGAGAAAGCACAGCAGCTGCCAGCAGGCCGCTGGCTCTCGGCGATCCCGCAGTGTTTACTACCCTGCGTTGTGCCTGCAGCACCTTTGGTTCCAATCCGAGTCAGGGGGGTATCCGGTCACTTTATGGCGAGAGTTAAAAATCTCTGCATCAGCCTCGCTGTTTACCTGCGGCGAGAGAGCAATTACCTGTGGCTCCGGAGCTCTCCGCGCCGAGAAGAACGGAAAGGAAACCCCACCGCGCGCACACTGTGAGCGTTCAAGAGAAACGCTGAACTTGCTCGAGTCTGAACATGCACCAGACCTATCCGAAAAGGTGCCGCCTTGTATTGGCATGTTTCCACTTCCGCCCCCATTTTTCTGGTTGAGATATTTCAAACATCAGTGGGGTCTTTTTAGATCAAATGACATGTAATGACAGTTTGCACTCCGACTGGATCATTTAAGTAAAATGTAATAAAATCTAAACTTGATAAAATCCGCCTCCTGCAACGTTTTGGCTAACAGTAAAATGATGAAAGTATACATCAGATAAAGTGCACAAATCTTGAGCACCCAGCCTGGTCAATTTTCATAAATGTAACCACTACCTAGGTCAAGTTATAGAAAATTTGCGTCAGTCCTAAATCAGTCCAAAAATTTAGACCTCGTTTCCAGTCAATCTTCACACCACCCAACTCAGGCAATCAGTATTCTGACTTCTGTCTCCATAGATTAGTTTTGTCTGTTCTTCAACTTTCCAGAACTGAATATGCTTTTTGTGCCTGGCTTCCTTTTTTTTTTTTTTTTTTCATGCAATGTAATGCTTTTGAGATGCATCCATTTCGTTGTGTGTATCAATGGATTATTTTGGTATTACTGATGAGTGTTATTCCAATAAGGGAATACACTACAGTTGATGGGCAATTGGGATATTTCCAGTTTGGGCTATTGTGAATAAGGCTGCTATGGATATTCTTGCCTGAGTCTTTGTGTGGACTTGTTCATTCATGTCTTTTAAGTATAAACCTAGTAATGGAATTGCCAGGTCATAGGGTATTTCTATTTTTAACCTGATTACAAACTACCAGTTTTCCAGGATGGTGCACTATTCTACACTCTCACCAGCAGCAAGAGATACAGTTGCTACACATTCTTGTCACCACATCGTGTTCTCTGTCTCTTAAATTTTACTTGTTCTGATGGGTATGTACTGCTATGTCACAGTGTTTTAAATTTGTGTTTCCCTAATGAGTTATGATGATCTTTTTATGCGCATCATAAAGAAATCTTCTTTAGTGAAGAGACACTGTTCAAGAGTTTTGTCCACTTTTAATTGGCTTGACTTTTTGTTTTACTTTTTACAGAAACTTTTTATAGTATTAGAACAGATTTAGATTTACAGAAGGGTTGAGAAGATCATACAGAGGATTTCCATACACCCCACATCCTGTTTCCCCTACTGTTAAAATCTTACATTAGAATGGTACATTTGTCATCATGAATGAATGAATACATTATTATTAACTAAAGTTCCTATTTTATTCAGATTTTTACCTAGTGTCCTTTTTCTGTTCCAGGATTCCATCCAGGATATCCTGTTACCTTTAGTTATTATGTCTCCTGACGCTCATCTGGAGACTGTCACAGTTCCTCAGACTTTCTTTCTAATTGATGACCTTGAAAATTCTCAGGAGTACTGGCCAGGTATTTTGTAGAGTGTCCCTCAACTGGTATTTGCCTGATGTTTTTCTCGTGATTAGACTGGAATTTTGGGTTTGGGGGGACAAAATGCCATTTTCACCACTTTGTACCATGGTGTATACTATCCACGTGACTTACCAATGTTGGTGTTAACCTTGATCATCTAGCTGAGGTAGTGTTTGTTAGGTTTCCCCACTGTAGATTTAATCTTTTTACCCCATTTCCATACTGTCTCTTGGGAAGGAAGTCACTATGAGTATCCCACACTTAAGGAGGGTAGAGTATCTACATAAATTATTTGGGACACTTCTGCATGAGACATATATCTATTTTCCTTATTTATTTATTTCTATCAGTATGGACTTGTGGATATTTATTTTATACTTTGTGGTTATAATTCAATACTATTTTATTCTTTTGTTGCCCAAATTGTTCCAGTTTCAGCCACTGTGAGCTCTTTCAGTTGGCTTCTGTGTCCCTTTGACATTCCCCCGTCATAGTGGAAGTTCTTTTTGTTGGTTGATTTTGGTTTTATTTTTAGTAATTTCTGGCACTGCAAGATGCTCCAGGCTGATCTTGTATATTTCCTGCCCCAGTCCTAGTTTCAGCCACTTCTCCAAAGAGCCCTGATTCCTTTTATTATTGGTGGCTTGCCTTTTTATTATTGGTTTCTAAAGTTTTGGTATTCAGAATTTGAGTCATGTGTTAGATAGATGTATTGAAAATAACTTTTCCCAGTCTGGCTTTCCTTTACATTTTCTTATGATTATATTTGATGAGCATAGTTTTATTTATTTTTATGAAATCCAATATCTTATGTAGATTTTCTTTTATTGTTAAGGCCTTTCTGTTCTCTGAGAAATCTCTGCTACCCCAGAATCAGGAATATATTATCCTGCTTTTAATTCTACGAGTTTTAGATATTTAATTTCAACTTTTAAATCTATGGCTCATCTCAAATTCATTCCTCAACACAGCAGGCTTGGGAACACTAAACAGTAGAGAAGCATGGTGTACCAGCCAACAATATGACCCTACAGAAACCTGCTTTATATTTTTTATGTAAAGACATTCAGAATATTTTCCTGGTCTCTTCTGGTTCGTTCCTCCTTTGTCCCTGTATCCTCCCCCCAACCCCTGGGCTGGAGAACTGGTGGAAGCATTGGTATATGAATCCATTGACTTTTGTTCCTAACTGCCATCCAGGCATCAGGAAGCTTCAATTCTGCCACTACCACTGCCTCTCACACCTACTAAACTGGTGACTAGACACTAGAACGTGACTGCCAACCAAAAGTGTCTCTAAACACTGATGGTTCCATAACATTATTTGCCACCAGCAACAGCAATGGGGAGGTGGCCTCTGCTCACTTCTGCCAACTCTCTTGAGTGCATCTCATTTCTATCCAGAACCCAACCTGCAAAGAAATCTGAGAAGTATAATTTTTAGCTTTCCAACCTCTTCAACTAGGAGGATGGAATGGATTTTGAGTGAGCCAACTGACACAAAGTTATTTTTAATTCCTCCACAAGAGCACTGCATATTTTTCAAAGACATCCCCTTTTTTAAATATGCAGAGAGAAGATGGGATAAAAGGAAATATACTAAACTCCTTAGAGTATGCCTGCTGGAAGTGGAGAAGGGAATGCAAGTGAGATAAAGAGAGGAAATAATGAAAGACAGTCAGGGCCTTGCTCCGAGCAGCCACCACCGTGTGTCCTGAACTAAGGAGCATAATCATCTTCATCCTTTGCAACTGGGAACTGAGAAAATATATTAACTGATCAGCGAGGTGCAATTCCAAAACTGCTGTAGGAAAACAGACAGTTTATGCAAGCAGACCAGTCTAATTAATACAGGCAGGAAGAAGCCTTTTTTAAAAACCAAAAAGAAAGAAACCACAAAGGAAGTGGTGGAAATGAGACTACGTCAGGAATCTCCAACACACTAATATCTGCTAATTGTAATGGACCCAATCTTCTCAGATTGGATATAAAACTAAATTCCAGATACAGCAGTTTATTAGACAGAAAAGGGTTAAATATTCAGATCAGTACAACTCTGTACCAGACTAATGGTAAACAAAAGAATAAAAGAGTGAAAACATGAATATCAGACAAAGGTACACAGCGAAAGAAAATTTTAAAGGATAGGAGCAAAATCCTAGCATCTTCGTGGAATCTACTCTAATTGTCTTTCCCTGAACTGGCCTTCCTGGGTGGCTGCAGAGGGTATGGTGAGGGGAAGAAATCCTGGAGTGAAATTTTCATTTATTCACTCTTGTATAGGACTCTGTAAGGCCTAAGAATTCAAAAGCAAGATTTGATCCTTGCGTTTTCCAGGGACTCAGAAGAGGCATCGGAAGGAGAGAAAGTCAATTATCATCTAGATCTTGGGGAGTCACTGAGACACATCCCTACTAGTCCAGTTGTCTGAACTGTCGCTGGATCTTGAATGCCTGTTTGGGGAAAAGAACTGGTGTTCCTGTCAAGGTTGAGAGGATAGGTTTCGGGAGGCACCAAGCAATGGGAGGGCAAAGAGACTGTGTCAGCAAGTGAGGAAATGAACTCTCCATTGGTCCACGCCAGATATGAACCAGAGAGAAGAAACTGGATGAATTTCTGGTGCTTTTCTACAGATATCTTTTATCCACTTATAAAGAGCCTACTTCAAAACTAGGCTTTTTCTAATTTGGTGTTTGTGTTTGAATGCCAAAACTTTATAGTGCTGTCTGACATAAATCTCCTATGCTAGCCTTTGCTCTGAGTGTCCTTTTTGTTCGTCGATTATATCTTCCAATAAGGATACTGAGAACATCTATTTCGGAACTGTTTTTCCCAAGTCCTTCCAGTGACTCTTTCTGATTTGAGCTAGTGTTCCCTGCTGCTGGGAAGCATTGGTGTTCAGTGATAGTATTCTCGCCTCCCATGCTGGAGACCCAGATTCGATTTCTGGCACAATGCGGTGTGCACAATCATCTTACTTGAACACTGTATTTCTCAGGCATTTTAGGTGGATTCAAGGTTCTGACCTCCAGGAACAGCACAGGAACAGCCCCGGTATTAAGGGGGAAAATAGGAACTAAAACACCTCAGGTTATTTCCAACTAGAAGACATAAAGGAATTTGTGTGAAGAGGGACTTTGCAGAGACTATGTCTTTGAATCGCAAGTGCGTCTGATGGGTCTCTGAGGTTTTGCATATGTGGGCCTAAAATCAGTGTTACTTTTGTTCTTTCTCCTATTGGATTCCTGGAATCCAAAGAGTCATCTACTCACTGATTCGCTTGCTGGATCTTGGACAGACCACTAGGCAACGTCTCACTATGCAGTGGGGATCAAGAAATGAAATTGCTGAAAGGAGAGAAGCCACAAGCCCAGGCAGACACCCCTTTGGAGAGCGAGGGGTGAGGGGCCCAAGGAACGGAGAGACTTGTAGGGAGGAATCCACAGGGAGACGGTAGGAACTGTGTAGACTGGCCTCAAGCCTTCCTGTGGAGGTAGGCCTCAGTCTTTTGGTGGTCTTGGTAAAATTAAGGATGAGCTCCAAGTGGAGAGCAGCACATACAGGAAAATCATTTTTATCACCCCTGTTTGTTTTACATTCCACCAGGGAAGTCTTCCGTTTAGGGGATCATTTTTATTCAATGGTTAAACAGCACTTGAGGGAGGCCATGACAATCATTAGCTTTGGAGGATTGGAGGAGACGCTGGAAGACGAGAGCCCAGGGATCATCTGGTTTGTCCACATGGTCTTCATCAACTATTTTCCTCAGCAAAGCTTTTGTGTGTCCCAGATATCAAATTGCAGCTGCCACATTGGTGTTTAAGTAAGTGCCACTGCTAATTTCTTTCCTGAAGGGATAAGAAATGATTGACCCAGTGCCACAGGAGGGAGATGCAAGAGCAGAACTTAAAATGCTTTTCTCCATCTTATCCTCTCTCTGCTACCTCTGAACACCAATCTTCCACACACGCTAGTTCAAAATAGCCTTCAATCTCTATGGAAGTTTATAATTTTTCATAATTCCTGTAAGCCATGTTTCCTTCTTGCTTCTATAAATCTTCTAGGGTCGATTTTGAGAAGCTGGTCGGCAACCCAGACTAATTCAATATCCTGGATCGTTTGTCTGGTTTTGATATTAAGGTAAAGCCCTGCCTCATAAAATGAGTTAAGAAGTGTTCCCTTGGCTTCTATTTCCTGGAAGAAACTGTAGAGAATTGGTATCGTTTCTTCCTTAAATGTTTCGTAGAATTCACCAGTGAAACCCCCTAAGTCTGGTGCTTTGTTTCAGAAGGTTATTAATTGTTGATACAATTTATTTAATAGATATAGGCCTATTTAGATTATCAATTTCTCCTTGTGTGAATTTTGGTAACTTGTGTTTGTCAGAGATTTCATCTCTTTCATCTAAGTTATCAAATTTGTGAGCAGAGGATTGTTCATAATATTCCTTTATTATTGTTTAATGTCCATGGGATCAGTACTGAGGGTCCTTCTTTCATTCCTGTTATCAGTAATTTGTATCTTCTCTCTTTATTTCTTGCTTAGCCTGGCTATAGGTTTATCAATTTTAGAGATCTTTTGAAAGAACTAGCTTTTGGTTTCATTGATTTTTCTCTATTAACTTCCTATTTTTAATTTTGTTGATTTCTGCTCTAGTTTTCATTATTTTTTTCTTATGCTTACTTTAGACTTGATTTGTTCCTGTTCTTTTCTTTTCCTTTTTTCTTTTTCTTTTTTTTTTTTGAATTTCCTAAAGTGGAAGCTTAGATTATTGACTTTAGACCTTTCTTTTTTGCTAGCGGATGCATTCAATGCTGTGAATTTCCCTAAGCATTATTTTATTGCAACCCAACATTTTTATAAGTTGTATTTTCATTTTTGTTGAGCTCAAAATAGTTAATTTCTCTTTAGATTTTTTCTTTGACACGTGTGGCACTTGAAGTGTGTTGTATAATCTCCAAATTTTGGGATTTTCCTGTTATGTTGCTGTTATTGATTTCAAGTTGTTTTCCTTTGTGGTCTGAGAGCATGTGTTGTATGATTTCTCTTCTTTTAATTTTGTTGAGATG